GTGGCACTGGCAGGAGAGATTGCAGGTAGAGGGACTGGTTGAGTGTGTTGTCTTCGTTGATTGTGGTAGAGACGGATGATCGGGGAATTCGATGGGAAATCATAGTGGAAAATCGACTCGGTGGTCTTCTAGAGATAAGTGGGAATTCCAGTGAAATCGACGGCGATCGGTAGAGAAGAGGAGTGTGAGTTTTTATTTATTTACTTATTTTATTTTGAATTAAAATATGAAGTGTCAATGATGTGGCAAAAACGTGGAAGTCATATAGATTGGCTTGGCTCGGCCACAACGTGAATTATGATGACGTCTCGTCCACAAACAGTTTAGGCTCCATTGGTTTGAAACTCTTACCCAAATAAGCTTGAAGTCGTGCTTTGAATGCTTTGGTTTGGTTTCTAGTGATTGAACCTTGAACTTGAGCAACTTGCTTTCATCGGATACACTTCCATACCACGTGGTATGCTCTTATGTAATACCAAACAATATCATCATTGTATAGACTAGTACTAATTGCATAAAAAAATTTATTAAAAAAACATATCAAAGTGGATATCATTTTGAAAAACACAATTTATCTGATTTATTTTGCAAAAAAAAAAAATTCCGACTTAAAACGAAAGAGATATAGTCCATTAAAGACATATAATACACTATATAGCAATAAATTATCACTAATCATAAACAATTTAAAATCCATATCATATCATCAAAAGTTCTAACTAATCATTCAAATTATCTCATAAAAGAAATAATAAATTCTTTTATTAAACTCAAGTTAGAAATTACGGTGGTAACCCGTAGTTGACAACATAAAATCAACTAGAAGGCTGGGAAATGAATAAAAGAAAGCATAAATTAAAGGTCTAATTCCATTAGAAAGCCCAAAACTATTCAAAAAGTGACCTTTGTGTCAAACTATTCAATATGACAAATCTGCTACGAACTATTTTTCCGTTAATGTTTACTGGCGTTGACTGTTAGTATTTAACAGAAAATCTAGTCAGCATCTATGTGGTTTGTGCCAGATTTGTCATATTGAATAGTTTAGGGCACAAATATCACGAAATGCATATAGTTTGCGTCAGATTTATCATATTGAATAGTTTAGGACACTTAAGACACTTTTAATATAGTTTGGGCTTCCTAGTGAAATTACCCCTAAATTAATAATTCATGTCGAATGATCTTAGTTTACAGTAAACGTTTTTTTTCCTTAGTTTTTTGTGATTAAAATAGTGAACCAATAGACTAGTCAAACTGGGGTAGTTGACTTGATTTTATGTCAAACAATTAAAAATTGTTCACTCCATCTAGCCGTCCAAGTAAATGAACTGCCACTATTGTATCCGGTTTGGTAATTCTACTAATCTAGCCATATATCCAATTCCATTCTTATAATAATGTGTATATCTAGATCTAAAAACTAGGAGGAGTTTAAACACTTGACTAACGAACGACCCTTTTAGTCACAAGATCCACACTCATCTCTTTCTCCTTTTCTTTGACAGATTAAGATGCAATATTCTGAATATCTAATTGCAAATAGATGGATATTACCACTCTCTTTCATATGGCGCCCCAAGTATTGTCCATGGCAAACACCTTACTATTCGATCACACAATTTATCTGATTTATCTGTGCAAAAAAAATTAAATTCTGACTTAAAACGGAAGAGATATAACCCATTAAAGACTTATAACACACTAATTTAGCAATAAATTATCACTAATCATAAACAATTTCAAATCCATATCATATCATCAAAAGTTCTAACTAATCATTCAAACTATCTCATAAAGAAAATAATAAATTCTTTCATTAAACTCAAGTTAGAAATTAAGGTGGCAACCCGTAGTTGACCACATAAAGCCGACAAGAAGGCTGGGAAATGAATAAAAGAAAGCATAATTAAAGGGCTAATTCCACTAGAAAGCTCAAAACTATTCAAAAAATGTCATTTGTGTCAAACTATTCAATATGACAAATCTGACACGAACTATTTTCCGTTAATGTTTACTGGCGTTGACTGTTAGTATTTAACAGAAAATCTAGTAAGCATCCATGTGGTTTGTGCAAGATTTGTCATATTGAATAGTTTATGGCACAAATGTCACGAAATGCATATAGTTTGTGTTAGATTTGTTATATTGAATAGTTTAGGACACTTAAGACACTTTTAAAATAGTTTGAGCTTCCTAGTGAAATTAGCCCTAAATTTATAATGCATGTCGAATGATATTAGTTTTCCTTTGTTTTTTTGTGATTAAAATAGTGAACCAATGGACAAGTCAAACTGGGGTGGTGTTTTTTTGTGATTAAAATAGTGAACCAATGGACAAGTCAAACTGGGGTGGTTGGCTTGATTTTATGTCAAACAGTTAAAAACGGTTCACTCCATCTAGCCGTCCAAGTAAATGAACCGAGCCACTATTGTATCTGATTTGATAGTTCTACTAATCCAACCATATATCCAATTCCATTCATCTAGATCTAAGAACTAAACACTTCTAACGAATGACCCTTTTAGTCACAAGATCCACACTCATCTCTAAGATGCAATATCCTGAATATCTAATTGCAAATAGATGGATATTACCACTCTTTCCTATGGCGCCCGAGGTATTATCCATGGCAAACACCTTAGGATTCGATCGCTTACATTCATAATCAACAAGAGGGCATTCCGGCCATTTGTCATTTGGTGTCCAACAAGGCCACCCATTTAGGCATCTCCTTGAAGGGAGTTTCAGTTGAGGGATTCTACGGCAGAAGAGGTTTCCTTAAATCTCTTGGTACCGATTATGTTGAATGCAAATCCACAAGTGAACCCATCTTCGAAAAGCTTCAAAATAACCTTCAGTAATTTTCCGCATCTTCCAAAGATATTTGAAAACCGTTTTAGTTGGAACATTCAGAGCAAATATGAAGCTACTCGGAAAGAAAGTGCATTTGCAAATATGTTACTGAAGAAAGAAGTGCAAATGCCAACATAATCTTCTGCATGAAAAGCTAGAAAACGTCAAATTTCAACTCAATCAGCATATGATGGATTACTCAATGGAATTACATATGCTAGCTAGTCAATTAGGAATTTAGGATATTCAAATGAAATCAACCTAGTTATCAGAACAGAACATCAGAGTTAGAAAAGATCTGTTGCTTACAACAAAAGTACCACGACGGCATCACAATTTTGGCTCAAAACAATCCAAGATCTAACATTCTTTCGATGCTGCTTCTAGTCATGATCAGCATCCCCTATATCTTCGTCCTCTGGCACACCACGCATATAGAGAACATTGTTGCATCTGCAGATAAATATGCAAGTGAGTGAGATAATGGCAGTTCATTGCATAGAAAAACACATTAACAAATAGATTCCACAAGCTTCACTGTCATACATCTATCGCACGAGAAATGATGCAGATGACATTGAGGTCAGGGATTCGAGCCCCAACTACCCTTCACTGGTTGTAAGGTCCTGGCTACTGACTACATAGCAGCTCTCTGATCACTTACTTTCCATACTTAGCGTACTATGTTTAATGTATGGAATCAAACTTTGAGTAATGAGTAAATAGTAAGGGGCTCATTCGATAACAAATTGGTAACATCAGAGTTCTAAAGAAAACTATGGTTCTCAATGACCCTAGCAATCTACCTTGTGAAAAGCTTGAGATTTTGTTAATGTTCAGACAATCGTCTCAAGTTCAGAATTTGAGCATAACAATTAAGCATATCAAACGATGGACAATCCATGGAGAATAAATGTCTCGGTCTAATCTACTCAACTCTCTGGTCACTCTGATCGCAACCCATCCTCAATGTTCCACCTCATAACTTTGGCATCAATACATAACAAACAGCCAAATATTGAGTCTCCAACACAAGAATTCAAATCTAAACAATATTCTGGAGAAGCATGTTCTAGAAAGTCCAAGCTCTCAGTGGTTTCCAAAGCACAGTTAAACTAAACCATCCACTAAATGAGGAAACTTAGGTATCTTACCTAATCAAAATCTCCCCAAGATTGCCAGTAAATTGTCCGTCAATGTACTCTTCAGCATTCCCTAGCTGCACATCAAATTCCCACATTACTATACAGCGGCAAAGGAATACATCAAAAAAAAGCCAAGGAACTCAAGAACCAACTGGGAATAACCATATGAAATTGTTTGCACAGAACGAATGAAACAAAAGGGAATTAAATAAGAAGCAACTATTATTCTTCTGAGCCATCGAATAGGGCCAGCGAAGAAGAATCACCTGGAGGTTCATGTACGAATCCACTGAAGCAAGAAACCCTGAAGTAACAGAAAAAGCAACAAACGGCCAAATCAGCTTAAAACAACAGCATCCAACTATACAGAAGGGAAGGGGGAAAAACAAACTTTTATCCTACCTTTATACTCGATGCCCCATTTCAGCTTCACGATCACAGTCTTCCCGGTCAAGTTGTTCAAGAACGGCTTAGGGTTTACTGGCACAGTCTGCATGCACAAAACAAAATCAGCGCACAAAATGGCGTAAATTTCACAGCGGGAAAACCCAAATCAAACCCCGCCAGAAAGACGAATCAATCCGCATAAGACTTTCAGAAAAGAGCTCACTCACCGCCATTGAAGTCTATACAGAGAGGAACGGACTAGAAGTAAACGGAGGAGGAGCAGCAGCAGAGAGCAGCGAGTCTTCACGAGCTTGTTGCAATTTGAGAGGCAAATTGAATTGAGGTTTAGACTTTAGAGGTCTGCCCCTTTACTAAATGACGCCGAGGTTGGGCCTCGGGAAAGATAATAAGACCCATAAAGGAAAGAGAATTGAGCTTTAGGCCCAGTAAAGCAGTCGAGCCCAAGTTCATACGCGTACACGGTTTCGTTTCCTTTTCCTGGAAAGCAAATTCCATCCATCATCTTGTTTTTCTTCCACATTCTGATTTCGAAACGCGGAAAACCCCCATTACCAACCAGGGAAATTCGTCTGTGCGATTGACCTTTGAGCCATGGGGAACACGGAGAAGCTGATGAACCAGATAATGGAGCTGAAATTCATGGCGAAGACGCTGCAGCGGCAGGCGAGGAAGTGCGAGAAGGAAGAGAAGGCGGACAAGCTGAAGGTGAAGAAGGCGATCGAGAAAGGGAACATGGACGGAGCTAGGATCTACGCCGAGAACGCGATCAGGAAGAGGACCGAGCAGATGAACTATCTCAGGCTGTCTTCCAGGCTTGATGCCGTCGTTGCTCGCCTCGATACTCAGGCCAAGATGACCACTATCAACAAGTCCATGGCCAACATCGTCAAATCTCTCGACTCCTCTCTCGCTTCGAGTAAGCTTTTCCCTGCTGATCCTTGCTTGCCTCTCTCTGAATTGAAGCTTGTTGATGTTGTAGCTTTGGCTTGCTTTGATTTGGATGTATAATTTGCTTGGGGGAATGAATTTTGTTTCTGCCTTTGTAGGGTTTCCAGTAATTACAAAAAAAAAATCAATGATTTATGTCTCAATTTCTTGTTAAGAGTCCTTTGTCTAGGAATTTTTCGACTTTGTGAAGACAAAAGTCGTTATCTTTTTCTTCCGGGAAGACGGATCTATGAAATGGTGGGTTGCTAAAGAGTGGAAAGATCTCCATTGCCTTGCTTGTAGGTGTTTTCCGTAATGTTTGTAAGAAAGCTTGTTTATCTTTTATCTGGAGATCTCTGGCTGTTGACATTTTGAAGGGGATGATGTTTTGAAAGTCTTGTCTGATAGGTGAAGCTGTTTACATGGATTTGCAGGTAATTTGCAGAAGATGTCTGAAACAATGGACCAGTTCGAGAAGCAGTTTGTGAACATGGAGGTCCAAGCAGAGTTCATGGAGAATGCAATGGCGGGTTCTACTTCACTGTCCACGCCCGAGGGTGAGGTCAACAGCCTGATGCAGCAGGTGGCGGATGATTATGGACTGGAGGTGTCAGTTGGGCTTCCTCAGCCTGCAGCACATGCTGTGCCAACCAAGGTCCGGGAGAAGGTCGACGAGGATGACTTGTCCAGGCGTCTTGCAGAGCTCAAGGCAAAGGGCTAAAAAAAGTGTTATTGAATATGTCAAAGCCTTTCGATTTGTGTTGATGTGATGCACTAAATCTATATCTGAAGATGTGTTCTTCATAGATTGCAATTACTCGCCTGAGCTGGCATTGTGTAAATTTGGCAAAATGGAGACTCTTGATTTGATTTGTACAATCTGTGTGTTGAATATTGATGATGATCATGCTGCGCCTTTGTTCCTGTACCATCTTCTCCAAGCTCGCTCTTTAATCCCTTTGCATTGTTGCTTATCTTATCACTGGATCTATGGATCTTTATGAGAGTGATAGTCTTACCTCTAAGTGAATTATGTTCTCCTTTTCCTTCATGTTTCTCTTTCACAACCGCATCATATGGAACTCGATTGATTCTCCGAAATCCCTCACCGCTCACTATCTCAAGAATTAGTAGGTTTCCAAGTTCAAATTCTTATTCGAAAATTATGTTCTCCATATCCTAGCTTTGTCCGCCTCTTCTTGGGTCCCTCCACCAGAAGGCGTTTTGAAGATCAACGTCGACGCAGCGGTTAGTGCCTCCGGATGCTCGACTGGGCCTGTTATCCGGGGCTAAGACGGGCATGTGAGGTTGGCGATCGGATTGCAGCTTCAAGGAATACTCAACCCTTATCTGGCTGAGCTTCTTGCTTTCAGGGATGCTATCTCCTTTGTAGCCTCAAGATCCTTGTCTCACGTGATAGTCGAAGGCGACTCTGAAGTGGTTGTCAACCAAGTCCGTCAAGGCGTCTTAGAAGACTCGGTTGGTGGTTCGGTGTTACGAGAGTGTCTCCAGATTCTTAGCTCTTTTTCTGCTTGTATAGAGTTTAGGGCGGTACCTAGATCCGCCAACAGTGCTGCCCATAGAGTGGCGCGTAAAGCACTGCTTTTGTCTCTTGTAGAGCTAGAATCTTTTGATTTCTTGGGGGTAGCTTCATTAGAGTCTTTTAGGGGTCCTGGGTAGAATTGTAAGCTTAACTATTATCTCTCATTGATATCACTCAGAAATAAAAAAAAACCATAGCGCTAAAGTGTGACTCAAATCTGACAGAACATTTCCTAGCTTAATTCTTTCTTTGAATCCGAAAGGTCATTCAACCATTGATGGCAGATAACAATATTACTTCTCAACTTGGAAAGAATTGGCTCGATACGACACAACTTCTGTTAGAAACCGGCGGGTTGGGCCGGTTGGTTGAGGGGTGGCCATTTTGTAATTTTTCATTATTTCTGTTTAGTATATAAAGAGGAGGAAACATTGTTCTGGGGAATCAATCAATAAAGAATATTTCAACCCAAATCCCTAAAATCCCAATTCTCTCTATCTCTTGTTCTTCCCCAATCTCTCTCAAATCCCTAACTTCTTCTCTTCTCAATCCCTAATTCCCTTGTGGAACTTCTTTGTTTCTAACATCTGGTATCAGAGCCCGGTTTCGATCGGTGAGTTCTTCACAACTCCATCAGGGACAGCTTCGAAACCAGAGAATTACCAAGGGCAGCGATGGAGAAATCAGAGCAAACATGGGCTCAGAAGCAAGAAAGGTTGTGGCAGATCGCGAGCTTTTGGAAGGAAGGGGCGGCGCGAGGCGCCGCGGCAGAGGAGGCGAAGCCGACGGCGTTCGGGAAGGCTGGCCGAGGCGGGGAGGGCGCCGCGCTGAGGGCTGAGGCGCGCGCGACTGCAGGCGGGGAGGAGTAGGGCCCGCTCGTCGGGGCTGTCGGAGGAGAGCCGAGGATCGCGCGGCCCACGGAGGGGCGCGAGGCCGAGGGCGGCAGCGCTGAAGGCGGCTCGGACGCGGGCGCGGAAGGAAGGGAGTCGGCGGCGATTTCCCTGCACTCCGTAGACGGGATTTCGTCGCCCAGCAGTGGCGGATACATGGACATTTAGGGGTGTCCCGGGACACCCCTAATATTTGGAAGAACGATTATCCAACCTCCGACTGTTGTTTTGTATGGAGAAAAAATTATAATTGGTAATCCGGGACACCCTTAAATTTGAAAAAAAATGATTATACTACTCTTGATAGTAGTTTGTGTAAGATTAAAAAATTATAAATGGTAGTTTGTGTTATTCAAACTTAGGACACTACTATTATTAAACATTTTTTTTAGGTTGCAACTCGTTTCTTGTTCTATTTAAACACTAAGAAATAGTAAAAACATTATTGCTTATTCCCAACTATTTTCAAGACCTAACAACTAAACTAATTGTGGGTTAACTTTAATTTGAATTGATTTTATAGTTACACAGCAAGAGTTAAAAGAGTCTTTCAACTTTGAGATACATAAAGAACAAGGTTAGAATTCGAATATGAGATCAGTTCGCATATAATTGTCTAGTATGATATATAGATTTGTTGAGCAGTGAAGACGTTGAGTATATTATATATTCTTTTTCAGAATATGAAAACACGTCGTGGCTTTTTGTTAAAATTTGTACTAGTCATGTATTTTCTTATTTATGAATTTTTTATTTTATTTTTTATTTTTTTAAAGAAGACATCCCTATAAAAAATTTCTGGATCCGCCACTGTCGCCCGGTACCCTGAGGTTTCGAGCGAAGGTGGCCGGGCAGCAAGGTCTCTTCCTTGTTGATAGTGGGGCATCGTTGAATTTTATCGGGGAGGACTTTGCTAAGACCTTGCAGGTGGCAGCAAGTCCGTCGCGACCGGTGGTGGTCAGAGTGGCTAATGGCGCGCCGATGCGGTGCGTTGAGGTTTACAGGGACTTGACTATGGAGATCCAAGGCCTCGAGATCACCATTGATCTGTATGTACTGCCCCTGCGCGGGTTCGATATCATTCTTGGTATACCTTGGCTGCAGAGCTTGGGGCCGATAATCAGTGATTGGAGGAGTCAGACGATGTGTTTCAAGTGCAGGGACAAGGAATGGAGGTTGAGAGGCTTGACCACGGCCATTGGGCCTGTTGAGATGGAAGAGTGCGAGAAAGGGGGGGGGGGGGACACAGAGCTTGCTGTCCTATGCTGGCTCCTATCCGCAGCAGGGAAACCGGTAATTGATGGGGAGATACAGGAGCTGTTGGATCGGTATCCCGAGCTATTCCAGGCCCCAACCACGCTCCCACCTCACCGACAGGTAGATCACCAGATTTTCTTAAAAGAAGGAGTGGAAACTGTAAATGTGAGGCCATATCGATATGGGCACTCGCAGAAGGGGGAGATCGAGAAGCAGGTCGAGGAGATGCTAGCCACAGGACTGATTCGGCCTAGTACCAGCCCTTTCTCGTCTCCGGTGCTGTTGGTTAAGAAGACGGATGGGACGTGGAGGTTCTGCATCGACTACCGAGCTCTCAATAAAGCTACGGTGAAGGATCGGTTTCCGATCCCGACAGTGGATGATATGCTTGATGAACTACATGGTCGTGCTATTTCACTAAGCTTGACTTGAGAGCCGTGATACCATCAGATCAGGATGCAGGAGGAGGATGTGCCTAAAACGACATTTCGCACCCACAATGGCCATTATGAGTACCTGGTGATGCCATTCGGGCTGTGCAATGCTCCCTCTACCTTCCAGGCAGCCATGAATGACATTTTCCGGCCACTTTTGAGATGGTATGTCTTGGTTTTTTTTTATGATATATTGGTATATAGCCCGACTTGGGAGGACCATTTGAGACATTTGCAGGAGGTGTTTGAGATTCTTCGAGAACACCAGTACTATATCAAGGCCTCCAAGTGTGCGTTTGGGGTGCATAAGGTGGATTACCTGGGGCATGTGGTGACACCTCAGGGAGTACAGGTGGACGAGACCAAGATTCAGGCAATGGTGGACTGGCCGGTACCCACCAATGTGACCGAGTTACGCGGCTTCCTGGGGTTGACGGGGTACTACCAGAAGTTTGTTCAGGGCTACAGTATGATAACGAGACCCTTGACGGGCCTGCTGAAGAAAGGGGGTTTTGCGTGGTCGCCGCAGGCGCAGGAGGCGTTCCAGAAGCTGAAACAGGCGATGTCGACTACCCACACTCTGGCAATGCCGGATTTCTCGAAGACATTTGTGATTGAGGCGGATGCTTCAGGTCGCGGAATTGGGGCAGTGCTGTCCTAGGATCGACATCCCATTGCTTTCATGAGCAAGACTCTGCCGCCCTCAAAAGAGGCCTGGTCGACATATCAGAAGGAGATGCATGCCATCATCACAGCAGTCCAGACTTGCAGGCCCTACCTGCTGGGCCAGAAGTTCCACATCTATACAGATCATCAGAGCCTGAAGCATCTTCTTGAACAGCGGGTGTCGACACCGGATCAGCACAAGTGGATTTCGAAATTACTAGGGTATGACTATGAGATCCACTACAGACTGGGGCCCACCAATGTGGTGGCGGATGGCCTGTCCAGGCGGCCGGGAGGAGAGGTCCTGGTGGCTGTGACCGGACCTGTTCCGGAGTTCTGGGATGAGCTACGTACCTCCTTGGAGACCAGCCCATATCTGCAGAACTGCCGGGATATTGCAGTGAGTGATGATCCAGGCCGCTACCAGTTCAGACAGGGGTTAGTACTTTTTAAGGGCCGGGTGGTCTTTCCGCCAGGGTCAAACCTGGTCACTACAGTGCTCATGGAGTTTCACGACCCTCCGCTGGGGGGTCATTCGGGGGTCGAACGGACCCTACGCCGTATCAGGGGCCATTTCTACTGGCCGCGCATGGCAGATGACGTGAAACACTACGTTGCCTCTTGCGACACCTGTCAGAGGGTGAAGCTATCTCACCTGCGACCCGCAGGGTTGTTGCAGCCTCTACCGGTGCCGGGGCAGGTATGGGAGGACATCAGTATGGATTTTATAGTGGGGCTTCCTCCATCAGGCGGGAAGACGGTGTTGTTTGTGGTGGTAGACCGTTAGACGAAGTATGCTCACTTCATCCGTACACGGCAAAGATTGTGGCTGAGCAGTTCGTGACAGGGGTGGTGTGGCATCACGGGTTCCCTCGATCTATTGTGAGTGATCGGGATCTAGTCTTCTTGAGCAACTTCTGGCAGGAAGTTT